GAAAATACTCTAATGAGTTAATTTAAACGTCATAGGGTTCAAAAGACAATGAAAACATGGAGTCATGAGGCTCTAAAGCAGCGGCTCAAAGTTTTCCTGGAAGAGTTTCTTGTGCTCGGCAGTTGTGATAAGAGTCTTACTCAGTCAGGTAAACATGCTCACCAGCTTTCCATTGATAATCTCACTCACAGTGCATGCTGGGAGTACAGTGCTGTATGTAAGTGGAAGGTTGTATATCGCAGAGTAGTGAGGTGGTGCACTGGTCCACAGGAAAAGCATTTGCCTAAGCTTGTGTGTGAACATCAACAACAGACCTCACACACTAATATCGTCCTCTGCTGTGATTGACAGCCGGCCTGTCAGATCCTGTAAGGGTGACACTATCTCTCTCCTCATGTGAGCAACTGTGTCACTTGGATCATCTCTGTCCCCTCTTCCTCCCTCTCCCTCTCTCTCTCTCTCTCTCTCTCGTCGGGCCTCCATGTGTCTGCTCAGTCATGTGTTTGGCTCCAGACTCGAGGATCCTCTCCTGGTTAATGGTTTTTCTCTGAGCCTGCTGTCACAGTCTGTCCCTGAGTGGTCCACCTCCGAGGTGGGGGTGGGAAGGGATCAACCATCCCGGTCACAGCCGGTGATGTTTTTTACTTCACACTCCTCTGCTGTACCTAAACATGAAGGATTAAGATTTTCTTGAATCAAACCTGCTGAAGATGTTAACGGCTTTGCCCACAGTCTCATCTGATGATATTACAGAATTAAGGGCAGTACAAAACGAGACAGTTTCGCTTCAGGTGGTTCAGCTATGATGGAGTATTAGGGCCAGATTAAGAAGAAAAAAAGACTTTGAGATCAAAGTCATTAATTTATAAGAATAAAGTCATTACTTGTGAGAATTAAGTCTTAATAAAATCATTATGATACTTAAGATAATGTGGTGCTGATGTGTCAAAGATTAAGTATCTCCTTGTTTGAGAAACTGATGTTGAAGTCTATTTTCATGAATAGTCATGGCTATTGTTTCAACAACTGTCATCTTAAACAACAGGTTAGAATAAAAGGACTTTATCACGACTTTATTCTCATACGTAATTACTTTGTTTCGACTTTAATCATGTAATTTCGATTGTTTTAATCTGAAAATTTCTACTTTAATCTCAAAATTTCCATTTTCTCATTTTGACTTTTTAACATTTTGACTTTAATCCAGATTTTTTTTTTTTTTTAATCTGAAAATTTCGACTTTAATCTCAAAATTTTTATTTTTTCATTTCAACTTTTCTACATTTTGGCTTAAATCTCGAAATTCCATTTTTTTTTTCATTTCGACTTTTTAAAATTTCAACTTTAATCCCAATATTTTTTTTTTTTTTCATTTCAACTTTTTAAAACTTTGACTTTAATCTTGAAATTTTGATTTAAAAAAATTGTAATTATTTTTGCTCTTCTTGTGGCCCTAATCCTCTTTCCTACTCAGCTGTCAAAAGCACTAAACACAACGCATATAAAAGTAAAACCAGATGAAATATTCAAATATAAATACATATAAAAAGGACTTATATTCACATTCACAAGTAAAATTTTACACTTTTCTCCAGAATATGTGCTTTCTAACATCTGCAAGCGCAAGAGTCACAGCTTTAATCTATGATCATTAATTTTATATATATCCCGATAAGATATTAAACCTTTTTCTCCCTTTAAGTATACAGTTTCACTCCAACCCTTTAGTTGTAAAACCATGTTATAAACCACACAGAGTATGTTGACCCATAGAGCTGTAAACAACACCCTGTAGCCGTACATAATTCTGAATGGATGCAGCTGTTCAGTCATCCATTCTCGTACCTTCAGCACTGTGCTAAGCTAAAGTCCTTCATCCTCTGGGTCAGCTCCCACAATGCACCTGTGCTGTAGCCCACTTCCCTGTACGTGACTGTAGTGTCTCCTGTCACCACGCCGGCCTGATCCCTGGTTTCTTTCACCTTCTCTTATCCCTCCATCCTCCTTACCTTCGCTGATTGGATTAAAAGGACACCTGCCTGCTTTCATTCTGCTGTTTGTGAACCGCTTTCGCTAATATTCTTACCTGCTGATCCCCCGTGATTCGGCTCTTTAATGCAGCCACCTTCTCGCTGAAAAAGGAGAGGGATGTCATACCAACTCCTTTCAACATCGCTGCAATAACCACGAACACAGCTGCCACTCCCTCTATGTAATTAGGCGTGTTTTTGGAAATTGAGGACGTGAACCCTTCAGTAACACGTGTACGCCCTGTATAACACACTTCTGACTCGGTGTGTTCAGACAGACAGTGCGACACAGGGTCAATCTTAATCTCATAAAGTGCCATGTTCTGTTGGACTGAGTGATTCCTTCCTACTAAGATTTTTTTCCCTATAACATCCAATAAAACCAGGAAACACCACCCCTGTGACCTCTGAATAAAAACAGAGCTGCACGGTTCCAACGCGCACGTACCGCGTCGGTTTTACCTTTATGCAAAATGACAATTTTTCGCGCTCAAGGGAAAGATTTTAATTACCAAAGCTTCAATGACACAGCCAACTCTCGCTTCCTCACATCACCCTGATGGATTGTTGACCTTTCTGCTGAATGTCAGGACAGCAGAGTCACTTCCAATTTTCTGCTGAAACCTGTTGAGTCTCCTCTCCCTCTGAAAAACCTTCGTCTTTGTTGCCTGTGATTGGTGGTCACAAATCGGGGAGTCTTTTTAATCAAAGCTTATATTTACTGCTTTAGTAAGCCATCATTTGCTTAAAAGCATGATGGGTTAAATAGTATTTTAGTGGCTGCTAGCGACTTTAAATGTTATCTTTTTGGCATCTTTGTTTTAATGTTTTGCTGTAAGCATTTTGAGCTACACAGCACCTTCCACTTACCAGTCCTGGAACATAGCTAAAGCCCATCTTGTGTTTGCTTTGTGTCTGTTTTCTTCGATTTGGTAGAGGTCCCATTCAAATCCTTGAGTTTTATCCTATCCTGCTCAGCTATTATTATCACGAAATCTGACGTTTTTAGCTCTCCAAATCAATTAAAATCAATATTAAGAATATTATAAATGTTTGTGACTCATTTTGAATGCTTATGGTAAGTGATGTTTTTGCCACAGTGTCAACAGGAAGTGATTTCTGCAAAAAGATCAGATTTGACTTGCAGAATCAGGTTGTCCCTAGCAACACTTATAGTCATGAATAAATGACTGTTACTAAGGAGTTTTGACCAATCAGAATGAAGTATTATTTGAACGTTTTTTTCATGCTGAGGTTTGTTGTCATTAATCTCAGTGAAAACATATACAAAGTTACCAAATTCCCAAGTTTGTGCTGAGTCATGACTGGAAATAGTCCTCGCCAATTCAGCCAAAGACAGAGGAAAACATTCAAAACTAAACTTTTTAATTATAACATCAAATGAAATAACACAGGCCTCATCTTTCAGCGACAACTCCCATTGAAAACAATAACCTCTCAGCGCACTGTCACCTCTAATAACCCTGATTCTGTGTGTTTTGGAGGAGTTCTACTTCCTCAACATCCACTCCCACCTCTTGTCTAGCCACTTGCCAACAAAGAAAAAACTCTTTCCTCAAGAACACCCCATCCTCCCCACCCCCCAACGCCTACCCATCCTGCTCACTATAATCCCTACCAGGTGTTGGCGAGCTTGAGCCCACACACTACCCCCCCTCCGCCTGCTACTCCCTCTCCTCCTTCCTCCACTTCATCATGCCTCCATTCCTGGAATCAGACATCTCTTCCTCACCCGCCAGAAGACACACTTTGTTTCTGGCAGCCTCCGTTGTTGTTTGCTCTCTTTTGGCTTCCCTCCCTCCCAGATCAGTCCTCCTCACCCTCCTCTGTCTCTCGTCTGCACTCCTTCCACCCTCCCCAACTCCAGCGTCCGGATGTCCCAGCTCCATCTGTCAGCGAGTCTATCCCCAGACTAGAGGAGAGGAGGGGACTGAAGAGAGGAAGGGGATGATAGATGAGAGAAAGTGAGAAGAACGGCCTTGTAGGAGACAACCCTCTTTGTCAAAAATGGCTTCTGTCTCCTACCGGATTCGATAAACAGAATTACACATCCACTCGAGAAGTGGAAGGCCCCACTTTCTGGGACTTTAAAGCAAGAAATGATCCAACCTCTTGACTCCTTGCTTTGCCAAAAACAAACAAACCTGAAGTTTTGCTTTGAAGTTTACTTTCATTTGTTCGTCGGACACTTTCTGACGTAAATGCTTTCTCAGACAGGCCTGTTCTGGAGACATTCCCATGGGAAGATGAGTGTCTTCCCCTGCTTTCTCCTCCGAGGCCACGATTTTACGCATCATCAATCGTGACCCGTGTAACCCAATAGGAACCCTTTGTTCTCCACATCAAAGAAGTCCCTTTGGACCGGAGATCAATCAGCGATTGATAGCACAAAGCGGATTCCACCCATTCGGAAAGCCATCAATACCGTGACCGATGAAGAGGAATCCCTCTTCAGCAGATTGATTGATTTGATAAAGTCTCTTCCTCTCTGATTCCCAAGACAACTGTTGTCCTCCCCTGCTCTAACTGCTCATTCGATTACACCTCGTTACCAGGAAATCTTATTTTCATCAGATGATTTCTCAAAGTTTTCCATAAACAAAGTTTCTGCCACGACATAATTTTGATTTGCTGTGATCTGATCATCAAAGCAAGAGAAACAGATAATAGATTAGTCATAAAAGTCTTTTTACTCTGATTATCCATGTTTATCCAACATTGTAAAGATTAGGCGAAAACAGACATAACACTTGAGAAAAGGACGCGAGTGTCGTGGTGCACCATGGGTATTTTTATAGATGCTATCACGATATAGAATGAACAGAAATGGGCGAAAGCAGCTGGGAAGAATTCTTTGTACACCTCCAATGTCCCAGTATCAAAGGGTTAAATTTAGGCTAAATATCCATGATAGTTTTTGTCTAACTATAATCCATTCCATATTTAGTGTTCAAGTTTCTGGTTCTGGTTCTGGTCCACATCATCAGCCTTGTGACCGTTACATCCATATTGCCTCATGAAGCGATTGTTTCTTATGCTTTTATTGTGATATACTTTTACTGGCTTACATTTGGGGAGATTTATTCCTTGTGTGGTAACTATGCTTTTATTTTGAAGAAGATGTATCTTGGTCCATCTACAATAATTACCCACTGAAACAAAACCTAAAACCTCTTTTATATCCTCTACTATGTGGACAGGTTCCCTCACATTGTCAGCACTGTGGACCAGAGCGTTCAGACCCACCTCCAGGATCATTACGGTGGGGCCAATTTCTCTAGTTTATCCTTTGATAAACTTCCTGGCCGGTTATACCCCAAACAGCGTGTTTGTCCATGTCTCACCGTGTATACTGTCCCTCTTTGTCCCTCTAAACAGGCTGTGACCTCCTGACCTCACAGCCGGTCTTCCTGAACAGAGGGGGGAAATGGGAAAGAGGCCTGTGTTTTGGCTGGGCCATGATCAGGCGCCAGGAAGGCAGGAAGCGAATTTTTCTCCTAAACAATAAAGATTCAGCACTTTTAAAGTATGAGGCACAGGACTGTTTGTTCACATGAGGCGCATAAACAGACAAAATAAAATCGATAAGCATCAACAGTGACTACATAACAGTTTTGTTGCACTTTAGTCACTGAATGTACCTGGACTCTAATTTTTCCTGAAAGTTGCGTCACTCACTCAGTGGTGTCAGGATGTGAGTGTTTGTGAGTAAAACACCAAAAATGAAAGTCGATACAAAGAGGAGATACAAGTCAGAAAAGAGCCTGGAGGAGGACAGGCGAAATATTCAGCGAGGCAACTCAAAACTACCGTCTCATTGCTCCACAATTTTAGCCATTTACAACAAAGGTACAGCAAAGTCTTGTGTCATTATGGAGGTACCCTCGACACTCAAGTAATAATAAACTAAAAATAAAGTATATTTACAGTTTGCTGATCCATTTACTTCCATGTGTTTATGCTGTTCAAAGATTGAGGCCCAGTGTGTGGACTCTGGAGCATGCACATGTTGATTGGCAAGTGTTGGATTGTACCCATGCTGGAGAAAACTGATCCCCAAATGCACGATTGACTTTAAGACATTTGACTTTGCTTTCATGTGTCTTTAAAAGCACAGTTCATATCAGACTTACACTTAACATCCAATTTTTTTACCACCATCTAAATTTACAGAGATACACCAAAGCTGCCAACCAATCGTCTGAAAATGTAAGACTCACCACATGGTTCACTAGTGGAGGTGGTTTTACTGTAATTTAGATAATCTACACGTGCAGGTTTCCAGTCCCCCTTAAACGACCACATTTGGTGTTGACTGACTTTTTAGTATTCACTCGGGGCTTGGCTTGGGTTCTGATCCATTTTCAAGCCAATATTCATATCCAGGTGTGCTTTGCAAAGACAGTGCAAAAGGGTAGGCAATCGTCAACTACATCGCGGTACTCTCCATGGCAACAGTAACTGAAGCTTTGACCCACTATTTAAGGGACAGGTTTTTATACTTCAAAAGATCACTGTGCTTCAACAGTGCAGAGCAGTGATTTTGTAAGTGAATCTTGGGTGACATCTCGACAGAGGACATGGAAATCCTTTGTTCAAATCAATGTTCCTCAAGTCAGGACTCCACAAAAAGACTGGATGACATCAAGCAACATGACATCTGTTCTCCTCAGCATCCTATCCCATCAGCCCTCAGTCTGGCTTTGTTCCTTTTCCTTCTGGCAGCCTCTTATATCCCATACAGTCATCTCTGGCTGTGGTACAGTAACCCCCACCCCTCTTGTCTTGGCAGTCTGCTGTAGTAAGCCAAGGAGGCGAAGGGCCAGTCAGTGAGCAGCCGGCCGTGGGACGGTGACGTTTGATCTCTAGGGAGGCACCGTCAGTGTTGAGCCTTCCTTGGATGAAGCGCTTTGTGATTAAGTGGCATTAGCGGCACGGAGATCCTTTAAGACACCGCAGCCAAGCACGAGACCTGTGGGCAGCTGGCCCTGTGTAGGCCTGATGGGATTGGAGGAGTTGTGGCTACGCTGGAAGTCGGGTCGGATAGGGATATGGAAGGGAAGAGTATTCCAACATTGCCAACCCTGGTTTGAGTCAAATCTCTGATACAACCGGTGAAAAGGTGGGGGTGGATATGATGTGCCAATGCTGAGGATTAGGGGTATTTTGCCTCTTATCCTCTGTGGGAACGGAAATATGTGAGATGAGTGAAGGGAGGGGGGGTGCACGTGTGTCCTTGGATTCATAACTATGACGACTGGATGACTATAGAGAGTGCTTGTTTATAGATTGGAATGAAGGATTGAGTACAGTATGTGCTGAATGTACACAAAGATACTGACAGTCTACTGTACGAGTACATCTCAGTTTGGGACCACATGCACGTCTACCTTGTGTGTTTGATGTGGTTGAGTGCGGTGACAGTTGGTGGCCCAGGTTGCCCAGCAGTGACAGTGGTAATCTCTGCATCTCGGGCATTTGGCTAACGGCTTTCGACCCCGAGAGTAGAGCAGCAGTCTGCTCACGGTCTCTGTGTGTCACAGTCACAGCTGCTAACATGCTCAAAGTAAATCTGCTGTCAGAGGATCTCAAGACGTCATGTTTACATGATGACATTAACTGTATCCCCATGATGTCTGTGGAAGAGATTGTTTTTTTTGCTAATAGGTGACTTAAACTTCACAGAAACATCCATCTCAGTGCAGCAGTTTATGAATAAAGTATCCATTAAGCTGAGGATATTTTGCTCAGTCCTCTTTTTGGGGGCTGTCCGGCCTTGTCCAGGGGAGTTTATAAAATCTTTCAAATATCTGGGTTTTGTATGGAAGTTTTGTGTTTGTGTTGAGTGGACTTACTGAGTTAGAATCACGTAAAAAACACCCGACCCGACCCAAAAAACTCTCAAAATTAACCATGCACGACTCTGTGACTCTGCCCCTGTGTAGTCGTGTCCTCTTTCTGGGGATTCCGAATATGGTAACCCCAACTTCAGTGAGATATGTTTTTAAATGACTAGGGAACCAAGAAAGAAATTAAAATACACAATATCTCACATGACAAAGGCGTGGTCTGCATGGTAGCATATGTTGCTACAAAACCTGTGGATATCTTTTAAGGTTAATGGTGCCATCCCAGAATAGAAAACTACCCATGCAGTGGACACCTATGCATCTCCATATCCACCACTGGGTGCCCCCCAATTGGGTAGTGACTTTGATCCATGATTTCCAAGAGGAAGGTCAAATTTTTATTTGTCAGACCACGTGACAGTTTTCGACTTCGCTCTCAGTCCACCCAAAGTACTCAATGGCATATAAAGGTCATGCTTAGATGTGGTTTCTGCTTTAGTTGATACAGCCAGGCAGAAACCTTGTATCTTCAAAATCACTGCTTAACCAGAAAATAAAAAACCTCTGTGTTTTTCATATAAAATTGCATGAGATTCAACCACCAGCCTTTCTGATTCTTACATCTGTAAAGTGTGAGAGAGCCTACCGACAGGCGGAATATGTGACCCAAAGGGTGCAAACATCAGTCAACTTAATTATCGGAAAGGCATTGCATGTGCCTCATCTAATACTTTTATTGCATCACTTAAAAGGAGAAACAATAATAAAGTCTCAACAATAAGGGGGCATTACTCAGTGTTCAGAGGACTTCCAAACTTTTGTAACAGGATTTCCTCAAGCACGTTGCACCAAAGTTCGGCGGCTCCCACTGCAAATGTTGGATTATCCTTCGGTCTTTGATGTTAACTTTAAACGGCCAAATGGAGACCACGTCCTCTTAGCTGAAGCAAATTAATCACTCTCTCTAAAAACCCGAGTCATTGTTTGTCTTCAGAGGCGTGTAAGACTCCTGGCTTGAGCTCCTAAGAGTTCCTTGAAGCTAATTTCTTCCCTGCCGCTCAGTCGGTCAAAGGTCATCTCTTGGACTAATTGTTCCAACGGGGATGGAGTAGAGCAAGGCCTGTTCTTCTGGACTGACTCCAGACATCTGAACAATGGTGACCCACTGTGTGGGTGGTGTGAGTGAGTGACAGCCTGGGTGGCCCACAGCTACGCTACACTGAAGGGTTGTGGGGTCAAGTCAAGCGGAGTCAGTTCTTGTTCTGCTGTGTAGAACGGACTCTTTACCTTTTGCTAACATTTACAAAGCACCAAAAACACTTGAGAGGGTTGTGTCAATAGCGCACGGACTGAAAACCCACTCTGATGTTTGTTAAACATGAGATGTGGAAGGCATGCAAAGCTTTGGGTGGGAAGAGGAGCTCTGAATCAAACAAGTACACAGCTAACATACCAGGAATTCTGATTAAGTCACAAAGTCCAAGTCCAATCTGCTTCTGATTTACTCCGGGTTGAACCTCCACAGTGGATTGGATAACACTGAAAGAACCTACAATTACACTTCAATCATTCAAGTTATATTTCACTCATTCAACAAAATGTTCACTTTAAACTTCTGCAGTATCACGGTTTTCATGTCTGGTATAAAGGGCTTTGAATTGTATATTTATACGATCTTGTTTTGAGTCTTGAGCCCAAAGTCAAACATTTAACCAGGATACTTAAGGACTGACTCAAAGTTTTCCATTTGGGAAGACTCAGTCGTACACATAACTGGCTAAAAAAAGATTGTATGATCGGCCTTGTACAGATAAATAAGGTCCAGAATGTAGTTAAAATTATATACTTGTTCGGTGTGCGACAAGAGGCTGTGGACACAAATTTTCCATATGTGTACATGTGGTTAACTTACCAAAAGTTCATTGATAACAACAATGGTGTAATATAGTTGGGTTACTTGTGGGATGGGATTATGTTTGAGTATAACAAAATCTATTTTGAATTGTATTGGGTTTTATTTAAAATAATAAAGATACTTTGTTAAAAACAAAATATATATTTGTCTGAAATCCCTGTAATCTGAGTCACATTAGAAGTTTTAAAGTAAAAATTCACAAAGTGTTGTGGAAAAATGACATGAAGAACACGGCAATGATATTGTTTAGGGCTTAAAGAGTCAGTAAATACCAGATAAAGCAGGATGAGATAAGCCTTCAGCAACAGTGAGGAAAAAACAAAAACAAGATAGAAGTAAAATAGAAAAAATATATAAATAAAGAAAACATGGGAAGTAGAAAAAAGTTAAAATGTGCCATCAGTGAAAACATGACAAAGGAATACAAGATAAAATATCTATAAATTGTTTGCCAATATTTTCAGTGAGGCGGCCACCATCATTATTGGGCTTTAAAGTGCCTCTTCAGGTAGCGCTAATGAGACTGCACCCATGCTTAATACAGTCTATGATCAGAGCACGTCACTGACATAAACATTAAACAAAGACATTGCAGGTTTAAAAACATCAAATGTCAAATAAGGTGAACTAAACAGCTAAAGGTACATTTACTTCACGAAAATGTTAGCCTACATACTTTAACGGCACAGGTTTGAAAACAAGCGTATCCAGATTTCCTGTTTTTATTAGGTTTGATTGCTAGAATAGATCCACTTTGTAAACTAGCATATCCAGGATTTCAGTGACCGTGCGCTCTGGCAGTGAACATCATACCTACGTGTGATTTCTGAACCTCACAATGCCAAAATATTTGGTGTTACAGCGTGGCGGTATCAGCCTCCACTCTCTCCTCGTGAAGGGCTTTTGAAAAGTTGGTTGGCGCCTGCTGCAGGGATTTGCTTCTAATCAGCTACAAGAGCATTAGTGAAGTCAGCCACTGAAGTTAGTCGATGAGGTCTGGTGTTTAGTCTGCGTTTGAAGTCATCCAGCAGGTACAAGATAATGCACAAGGCCAGGACAGGTATCATGTTGTTGAGCACCAGGATAAATTCAGGATTGATAAATAAGAGCATAGCTGATGTAGACCGAGTGTTGAATACATGTTTCTCCAGCTTACAGTCGTGACTTTCCAGAAGCTAGGAGGTCCACACCTGCCAACAACTGGCTTTCAAAAGACGAGAGGAGGTGGTGTTGGCACGGAGAGTCATGTGACCAGTCGACTTAACCAAATAAGTCAATAATATTTCCACCGGTGCAGAGTGGAACCGTGCACACACCTTATGAATCACGTTGTGGGTTTTCAAGTCACGGGGCGTGAGATGTTGGGATAGTGAATGAATTGTGAGTCATAGACAGCCTGGCAAGTACAAACAATATGCATCCATGTTGGTTATATGTGCCTTTTTGATAATGAAGTTGTAGGGGCGTGACAAACTCAGGGAAAAGCTCCACAGAAGAGAAAGCAGGAGATGGTCTCTGATTATTAATCACGGCTCAATTGAGATATCCAGCATACTCGACCAAATACAAACACCCAGTTCTTAATGGACTTCTTCATCCGTACTTATGTAACCTGTGTGTGTGTTATGTTTGCATTATGTCCTGGCAGAAAATGATGGATCAGAAAACAGTGTGTGGGTTCTGGTTCAGCTGTGGCAAAAGACAAAAATCCATTAGAGCCATGTTTGAGCTGGTTTTCCTTTCCTCTAAACTTAAATTTAACTAAAGGCTACGAGATTAAACAAAACTATGCACTAAGAGATTTTACAAGAGATGGTTAAAAAAAATACTTCTGCAAATACCTTCATCATCATGCTAATGCACAGACAGACTATTAAATGAAGAGGTAGAAGGAAAAAGAAACTTTTACTTTTAACTTTTAGACACACTTTTGTTAAGAAAATCATTTCCTGACTTACTTTTGGCCCTTTTTGTAGGGCTGGGCAATAAACTGAGAATTTAACTGAAACCAAATTTTACGACAATAACCAACGTCGTTTCGCCCATATCGGTATATTCAGTGTCAAATAGATAAATAAATAAAAGTTGGTTTTGGATGTGTGTAGGTAGGCTATGGTCTCATGTCCCTTTAAGACGCTGTCCTACGTCAGAGACGTGACTCCACCCCATCCAGTCCATAACAAAGAGGGAAAGACAGGTGAGGAGATGGAGGATGGATCAAAAGTTGTAGCAGCTGAAGTAGTTAATGTGGGAGGGGGTGAGCAGCTTGTGGAGTAGTTATCGTCTATTTACCAATATCAAGGTGAACTGTTCAATATATCGTGACATTGATTTGAGGTCATATCGCCCAGCCCTACCATTTTGCCTTTTTGAAAAATGCAACTCTCCGAGCCTTTTTGCCAAATTTTATGTGACGGTGAAGTAAATCTTGGCGGTAACACTGACCAGGAAATCAAATTGTCCATCTTTCAGAGGAATGCCTACAAGCCCCACAGTTATTACTGCGCTAACAAACACATGTGGCTATTCATCCAGTAAATTGTTTGGACACTTCTGCTGTTCGAATCGTTTTGTTGTTAAAAAGTTGTCAGTATAAAAATGAAAGCAGAGATGTGAAACCTCAGCTGTACAGGCCTGTTTTTTTCTTCCAGATTATCATTTCTGTCATGTGAGGTGTTCAAGGCCAACAAAACAACAGATCGTGTAGCCAAGACTCAGAAAACCCTGGCAACCGCTGGAGGTATTTTTCACACCACCAACTTGGACTGATACCAGCTTGAAAAGATGAGACTGAAAGATTTTAATCCTTCTTAGGAGCTGAAAAGTTATTTTTGTTGTGTGAATCCATTCAGATTTAGAAAAGCCTGTTCTTACGTTGGTGTATTGGAGGAAATCTGTGAGTAGACTTTTTATTCTGTCAGTCCTGCAGGTCCTCCTCTGCCGGTTGGACCCACTAACCAGATGCTCATAGTAATAACAGCTACAGCATCCTGATTACAGGGGCCACTTCACTTAAGGTCACACAACAACCAGAAAATCAGCAACAAACGACCACATAATGGCCCTCATCCTGCTCGCCATCCCATCATCTCCAAGCCCAGTCATTACCCACGCTGCTTCAGGGCCTCCTTCCTTTCCCAGTGTTTACCGCATTCCTCCCATACTTTTCAGCCTGACTTGCATGGGAAGCTCCAGAACATGCCAGGATATCTGTACGTCTGCGTGTGGGGCTCAAACAGCTGTCGAGGAGCGAGGGGTCTTGCCTGAACTCGTTGGTCCCGACTCATTTCCTGACTTGCGGTTGCTGTTGTGAAGACTGCTGGGATGTTTTTGAGGCTGAGGGAGGCCACGCGGCGCCGGAATGCATCAAGCTCAGACCTCATCATCTGCTATCACGAGGAGTTTGTTGTCTTTTGTTCGGACTCTCAATACAGGCAACCTTTTTGTCCTGATGGACTCACATCAGCAGAACCCAAGTTGTTGTTTGTACATTCACAGTCACTCATTTGAAAGTTTGCCTAAAAACACAGACGCCCTCAGGTTCTTTGTAAACAGACTACAGGTGAAGTTATCTAATCTGTCTATCTCTATGAATCTAGTTAACTCTATTTCTTTGTTTAAGTTTCTATATTGTAGTTCAATAAAAGGTGAAACGTGGCTTAATTTTGGGGCTTTCACTGCCTCTCTAACTGTTTGAACAAAGACCAACAAAGAAACTCGACTTTATGTTCGTGTTTCCCCGTTTTATATCATATTTAATACATACTTTTATAATACTTCTATCATATCAATATGATCAGCAAATTACTAAATTAACAGTTGAATACAGTCCGATAAATGATAAAAAATATCCTCTTGTGCTTTATCAATAAAAAAAAAAATTGTATGTATCAAACGAGATAAATAAATATATTTGTTAAATTTTAAGGATATTTAGATTTTTTTGGTTTTCAGTAGTAAGTGAAATAAACATTTCTGCTCTAAAAAAATTGAATTATCCGGCCACAATTTGTGGTTTCAGGCATTAAAGGGCTAACATGGAGTGGCTAATACCTATTCTGCTATCAGTCAACAGGGGGAGCTCTAAATGTTTCGGCTTCACAAAACCATGTCTGTCTCCTTCAATGGATCCTTCAGTTTTTGGAGTTTGTTCCAAGGAACTTTTGGTTTGTGTCGATTCTGGCGCCCTCTCTGGACAAAGTGATACCTCTATTCTCTGCCAAAGTAATGTTTCCAGACAAAAACCTTACCCTGTTGTCTTATTTTGATTATTTCCACTGAAAAACTAACCCAATGCTGTTTCTGTCAGTCGTCTCATTGTGATAGTATCGGCCTTGTTTCTCCTGGTCTGATGTCATAGGGAGGCATCAATATAATTTTAAGTCTGTTTCTCAACCTGTTAAAAACTCCTTATAGTGCCTTTAATATTTAGCATGACACGTCAAAACCTAGTTTGGCTAACTTGTATCCGCCCTCATATGTAGGACCTTTTTGATTAAGATAAGCGTGTTTGTGTGGTGTGAGAACTGAATTTCTGCTTAGCCTCGATTATGATTTAGACTTCTCCACATAGCCCAGAGTTTTGGACCTTCATGAAAGAGCAAAAGTTATCTTTCGATAGGTAAAACATCAAGTGTCCTCTCAGCCACTTTTAGGTGTTTCTGGTCTTGAAGAAAACACTGTTGGCTGTTGAAACTCAAAAAGGGAACAAAAACACTCATTTCCACTGAAAAAGATACCATGACGTAATATATGGGTATTTCATTTTCTATATTGCCCAACGTTACGTCTAAAGTGTCACACAAAGTTAACTCGTCAAAGTTTACTCACCATCTCTGTTGTTATGGTGACAAACTCTTGTATCTACTGTAGCCGTGTAAACAATAATAAATGTCAACATATGCTGAATTAGCGTGAATTTCTGGGTACGCTAAAAAACGTCATCAGTGGTTTTCAAACAAAAAGGCCAGAAAATAAGAATTGTACCCCGTTGCGCATCAATTTGTCACTGTAGTAAATGTTTATTAGATTTCTGCCTCTTGTTTAGCATCCATATTGGTTTTTTTTCTCCAACACAGCAATAAAACATAAACAGGATGTCATAAAAACGCTGAAAGAGGCAGGCAGGGTTCCTGGTCTACATACCTGCTAACTCCAGTGTTCCTGTGTTTAGTGTTTCCTGGCTGTTTTTCAGGAAGAGATGAGACAAATTGGATTACAACGCATTGTGGTCATAGTGGGATGGCGCTGAGTGTTGCTGCGTCTACCTTGTTTATGCAGCAGTTTGGATACAATGATCCTTTGTGTTGGCTGAGGACTTAAGGATAAAAACACCCCTGTTGTCTGGCTGTAATGCAGTCAACTCTGCAGATTTCCACTTGTTGTTTCATCATCTGCTGTTTGCTCGGAGCTCGCTGATTAACCGCAGAACATGTCATTAGTGAGCAAAACAGGAAACCCATATCAAGTCATTTCACAACAAGAAAATAAACTTCATACTTCCTCTTTTGGCCATTTCTCTTTCTTATTGCAATATTAAATAGATAAAAAATGACAAAAAAAGTTTTTACTTTGCTGAAAACTTAAACTGCATGAGAAAGAGATTTGCTTTAGACATGTCCTGCAGGGTCAAATCATGCCTGATTTCTTCTTCACAATATGTCAAGTTTTTGGAATTAGGTTTAATGCGAGTGGCCCACTTTTGGAGCATCAGAGAGCCACAGTCAAATTTAAACGGATGTTTTAAATGGTGAGAAGAGTGCTAATCTGCACTAAAGCTGCAAAGTGAGAGGAGAGAGTGCATCAGCCTTTTTTCCATCTGTACGTGTGAATGCAGAGTGACAGAAATGGGCCAAAGGCTGAGGGAGATGGACACCCGGCGAAGGGGAAATCCTCTCT